CTGAAAAGGAAACCGTAAACCCTAAGCCCTTACGAAGCCCCTCGAAGGGCTTTAGGGCGTGAAGCTTTTAACCTTGGAGCCATAAGACTAGCCCCAGGACCACAGAAGCTGCAGTCAACCGGAGTCTGAGACTACCCTGAGGGTTTAGGGTTTTAGGGCTGTAGGGTTTTAGGGTTTGGGGGTCTGGAGGTCTGGGGTTGTAGGGCTTTAGGGTTGTAGGGCTAGTTGTAGGGCTTCAGGGTTGTAGGGTTTTAGAGTTTAGGGTTTAAGCCCCAAGGCCTAAATCCTTGGTGCTCCACTTCAAATAATAAGAGTAGCTCACGGGATCCTGTTGTAGTCATATCATAAACTAAATGTGTCCATTTGGAGATGGGTTTACCGGACTCCTCTTATGAGTAGTTGACCCATGACCCCTGGCCCTAAGTTTTACTGGTTCTTAGCAGGGAATAAAGGACTAATCCCTATAATAGTCTAACCTCCTAGTATCCCCCTCAACCGCTATAGTAGTCCCCTATACAATAGCCCTAAATAAATCCCCTCCAAGGAGTTTAGACTATACCTCATATAACATCCATATAATATATTCCCCATATTCTCTACTAAGCTTTAGCAGGGGAGGTTCGGCATGGATTTAGAAGAGCACGGTGGCTTGCAAGTTGGGAAAAAACCTGAAAAGGGGCCTTGTAGAGGCCTGAATAAATGGAATAGGCTTTGGAGGTAAGTTGTACTATAAGCACAAGTAGAAGTATTAAGGAGTACAGAAAAGGTTCAAGTTGGTACTCATTAAGGCCTCCTCATGACCATAATGGGGCACTCACCAGAGAAATACACAGATTATGAGCCATGCACAGAGGGGTGCCTCTCCCAGCGAAGAAAGAAGCTCACTTCCTATGATAGCAACATGTTCAATATCACTCTACTTTCCCAAACCCTCCGTCAGGGGTCCCAGAACTCACCCAAGAATGCCATAGAGTACTAAACCGGTTCTACTTTGAAAGATTTTCACGGGGTCTGTTCAAGGACCGTCCAAAGAACCTTCTGTGCAATACTTCTTTGACTCAAGGGTTCATGGCTACGAGGTAATGAAAAGCATGCCAGTGGTTCAACAAGTCTGCTTGCGGATTTTATACCCTAAACCCTAAACCCTATCATGTCTGGGGTGTTCTGAGTTCTGGGGATGCCTGCAACCTCAAACTCTGTCAGAATCCGGAAGACCCCTCAAATTGCACGTCTGAGTAGTGTTTTTTTGGTGGTTAAACCTAGTAAGATCACATAGGGATTAGGGTTTAGGATTTAGGGTTTAGGGTTTAGGGTTGAACCTAGTAAGATAATATTCCTTATATAAAGTACTATACCCCAAAAAAAGGATGGAATCTGACTCTATAATGGGTACCAGAGTATCCCCAAATAAAATACTACTCATCTGAAGTCTCAGCCACATCGCGCCTCCAGCAATTCCTGCGCACTGTAGGACAAAGGACCTCGCAAAAACAACGACAACTCAAACTGGTTCAGTAGGGAATGATGGAATGGATGCCTGTAGCAGCCCCTGTAGCAGCAACAATAACCCCCTCCCCCTAATATTAAACCTCCCTGCGCCCTTATATTAAATACTCTTCATTGTGGTATAGTGGGCATATTTCACATCAGCGGGGGTGAGGGGTTCTAATATCAGGGGGAGGGGATTAATGAAGCAATTTCCAAGTTGTGTGCCATGCCTCCTACGTTCCCGTTTAACAACTAGCAAGAATTGAAGTCCCAGCTAGGTATGTACCGAACAAAGATGGCTATCTATAATAAGAATTTTAAGGCATTATAGGATCTTCAAGATCTTCCCTACGAAGTACTATTTGGCATCCATAATGATGATAAACAGTGACATAGTAGTGATTATGAGTGGCAATGGGTATCCTGGACTTCACCCTACCTAGAGCTTAAAGTTTGCAGCAAACATGTGGTAGTTCCCACTACGAATGAGGGGACCAAATATCGACCACAAAACGCAATAAGCCCTAAAATGACAGCCCAAAATTAAGGATTCCTGGTTACCGGAATCCCCATATGTATGCATGGCAGTAAGCCAGGGAAGAGGTTCTGTGCGGGAAGCAAGTGTTCCAGCCTTCACGAAAAGGAAACGATGAGGTGACATGATAACGCAGCGAGCAGGACGCCCCAGCCTGTTTTCAGACTGGCTGAAACCCTAAATCCTAAGCCCTGAACCATAGACCGTGTGCGACCAGCAGCCAACGTAAGCAGCAAATCTGGAACCGCCGCGAAAGGACAGTTTTATCACGTGAGGACTCCGAATCAAAACCCTGTACTCCTGCAAAGCTTTGGAGACCCTAGGGTTCAGGGCTTAGGCACTCGGATCCAGGATCTTCAAAGCCTGGGCTTCAGCTGATACCTGTCTAGATGTGGTAGTTTTCCAAAATAAGGGGGACTCCCAATATACTATATATACTATAATCCTTATCATGAAGAGGCACCCCCTAATTTCGGGAAACCCCATATACACACATGTTTATGTAAAACCATAAACCCTAAACCCTAAACCCTTGTGTGCTAATCTTCTACCTTAATCGGACTCTAAATCTTACCCCCAATGTCGCCAGGGGAGACACGGCTAAACCTAAACCCTCCAACCTAAAACCCTAAACAGTTATTAACCCCTGGATATGGTTTAGGGTTCAAGGTTTAGGTCTTAGGGTTTAGAGTTTGGGGTTTAGGGTTCAGGGTTTAGGGCCTAGAGTTTAGGGTTTAGGGTTCGGGGTTTAGGGTCTAGGGCCCCTGGATAAAAAGGACTTTCTGATATGGACCTTCTGGCCGGACCCAGAACGCATGGCCCTAAAGAAGGCCAAATTGCCACACGAATCCAACGCCTGCAGGTGTAAGGCTTAGGGTTGAGGGGTTTGGGGGCACCCTAAACCCTAAACCCTAGACCCTATAGCGGCTGAAGGGTTTTCGGTGTTCGGGATGCATAGGCCCTATTCGGGGATCCAAAGGGTTTAGGGCTTAGGGCTTAGGGTTTAGGGTTTAGGGTTTAGGGGGATATGTTGAAAAACTCCACTATCCAAGACTACTTGGAGGATCTCTTGACGTAGTAAGTCTACCTGGTACCTTGGGTTACAGGGCTTACAATGGGGGTAATGAGGGATGGTAGGTAGACTTACTAAGTCAGGAGATCATCCAAGAGTAGGGGGATTCTGGGAACCGCAACCTGACGATAAGGAGCCTTCTATCATCATGCAACCAAAACAGGGTCCAAAAAAAAAAAAAAGTGTTTACCGTGTAGGATTTGGGGTTTAGGGTTTAGAATCTTGGAGGGTTGGGGCGACCAGCAACCTATTCATATCCTGGCCCTAAACCCTAAATCCTAAACCTCAAATTCATACGGTATCCTCCCCCAAGCCCTATAGCGCTGCCTCGGATGATGGGAGACACCAAAGTCACCTGGTCTGGTTGCTCATTGAGATAATGTGAAACAGCCATAACTCAGCAAAACCCTAACCTTAAACCCTAAACCCAGGTATTCCTGAACGGGTTGCAACACAACAAGGAAGAAATGGCAGGGTAGTTTCCCTCGGCGGGTCGAAGTACAGATCCTAAAATATGTTAATCCTAGAAGTTTGGGTTTAGGATTTGGGGTGTAGGGTGGGAATCCCCAAAAAAGTACCCCCCCCCTAATTTTGTGAAACCCCCGGATATGTTTAGTGTTTAAGAATGGCCGGGCGATTCGAGGAGCAACCTATGAGCGCTCAGTGTTACATGTTTGTTCGTGGCATCATCGTGGGGATTTGAGTTTCAGGGTTTAGGGCTTCGGGCCTTTCCGGCTTTGCACTGCATAGCCACTGTACAGTCTCTATGTGGGAATGGTACATGCGCGCTGAAGACAGTGAATATAGCAACGGGCGTTTTAAAATCATGAAAAATTAGAAGAAGTGAGAATGCAAAGACGCCGCTAGCAGGCGAATCAAGTTCTTGAAAGTTGCAGACTTGGCGCGTTGCGAGTAATCTCGCCAAAGGTCCACCCTGCAACATGTTTTACGTCATCTCGATGTATCCCAAATTCCCGGATCATTCCGAGCTTGAGAAGCCCGACATAAACATATAAACCCTGTATGGTCCCTATAGTCCCTATATTTTTCATTTTCCTTTCCATTATCCCCAAATAACCCTGATATATGGGAGACCCTAAACCCTAAACTCTGAATCCTGCAACAGGAACTGGGAGTTCCCACCGAGCCCTGGAAAGCCAGTGGCAAGGAGAAGGCGACGCTCAGCGTGACGGACTAGGCGAAGTTGGGCAGAGTTTGCCAGTTGTTTAGGGTTTAGGGTTGCACCGGAGAATCAAATGAAGACAATGGACAATGAAATGGAACCTTTTGTCTATATAGCGGGTGATAGGGATTGTGTTTAGGGTTAGGTCTTACAGTTGAGGTCATGTGCAGAGTTTGTCGTGGCTCAACCGACTCTGCGGGTTCAAGAAGATTGCTCCAGTTCTCTTTTGAGCACCAGGCGGGACAGTCTGCCCGCGTGTCACGAGGCGGGTACGGTTTAGGGCCTTGAGAGTGATTGGGGCAAAAAGCCACGCGCGCGTTGCTGAGACCAGAACCACGTAAATGGAGCAACTAAATGTGAAATCCTCGGTGCCTCACTACACTAAACCCTAAACACTAAACCCTAAACACCCTAAATCATGTGGTAGAAGGCTTAGGGTTGATAGGGTTTAGGGGGATTCCATGGTAGAAAATTCCCTGGAGACTCTGCGAAGATGTCCGCATGGGGCGAACTTAGGGATGGCGAGACGTTGAGACCGCTTCTTTGGGGACATATTTGCCCATACCTGTACGAAACATCACATGAAATAAAATGGAAAACAGAATGGATACTAATACTTTATTTGGGGCTTTGGGGCTCACGGATATAAGGGATTTACTGCCTCGGACCTGACTAGAAACACGTCCACATCGGCTCTCGTATTGTTCCTGCGATGCCAGCGGCTACGCTGATGTGGCTGGTTGGACATCGCCAGGCACGTCACAGCGACCATACTCTTCAGAGCCAAAGCAAACCAGCCGACCATCCATGCGAACTGCGCAAGTGTGATGAACTCCAGCAGAGACAGCCACGACCGGTCCCACATCAGAGGGCACATCGCATTGCCCAGCATCATTGCGGCCAAAACAAATCAGCTGAAAACTTGTTTTGACAGCACATGTGTGATAGGCGCCTGCAGACACGGTCAGAACTGGTCCTAAGTCTTCTGGCACGTCGCATTTGCCGTCGTCATCTAAGCCAAAGCAGACCAGCTTGCCATCCGTCATCACTGCACAGGCATGACCTTAACTGTTCTTAGAAGGCTGGCAAACAAAACTTGTCGCATTCCAGCTATGCTAGACAAGGACTCACAGCAAGCAGACAAATAAACAAAAAACACATATAATACCATACATGTTTTCGCAGTGGCTCGAAGTTTAAGTCAAAAAGGGGTAGCTCACGGTAGTTATCGGGTGAGCACACATATAGAAGGCTTTTTTATAGGCCTCACATACCTCTATTACGGTGGCACGAGCAATATATGACTATTATATGAGGGGGAGCTCCTGGTAACTACGCACCTGAAACTGTTGCGAGTTAAGATCTACCTGCCCTAAATCCTGAACCCTAAGCCGACTTTCCAAAAGGGCCCCAAGACGCGTTCCTACGGACACAGCCATGACTGGTCCAAGGTTTGCCTGGGTTGCTGTTAAGGAACTTAAATTAAGTTACTATATTGGGGAGAACCTATTATTTACTATATATACCCATTATGGTAACTTAATTTAAGTTCCTTAACAGCAACCCAGTTGCTGGCACGTTGAGATTTCCTTGAGAGCCTGATCCAAAGCAGACCAGCTGACCATCTGTCTTCACCTGAGCTCATGGCTGGGGGATTTTCAGGGTTTAGGGTTTTAGGGTTTAGGGTTTAGGGTTTAGGGTTTAGGATTTAGGGTTTAGGATTTAGGGTTTAGGGTTTAGGGTGTAGGGTCTAGGGTTATTGTTCGGGGTCCTGATTTAGGGTTCAGTGTTTAGGATTTAAGGCTTAGGGGTCGGGATGTAGGGCTTGGGCTTAAGTCTTTTAGCGGTTTAGGGGCAGGGGTTAGCGAAACAGAGCAGGCTCTATCAACATTTATCTCTGTGAGTAAATAAACCATTATACCAATATAAATATGGGGTCTCCTAATACTAGGAATACCTTTTTAGGGTCCCCATAATAAAGATCATAGTAATTTGGGATTCACATGGGGATTTTGTCTTGTTTTTTGGAAACTACCATATGATCCCCATGCCATGCCACTAATATGGTTCATTTAGGAGGTCTATTCTTCAGATCCTTTTGGAGATCTCGGATCTCTGTAACACGAGAAGGCACAGGTGACGTAAACAGTCAAGGAAGATACTTCCAAATAATCAAGGCCAATTACTCCAGGGTTCGCTACAAATCCCTCAGATCATGATTTTGTGATGATTCTAGGGCCCCAAGCCCTAAACCCTAAACCTCTAAACCCTGAACCCTAAACATGTATCAGCTTCAGCGACTGCACAGGTGTGATGCCTTCCCGCGGAGACTGCCAGAACAGGCCCCATATCTGCTGGCACATCACCTAAGCTTGCCCACATTGCCCGAGGAAGATAAAAGGACCCTTCTAACATAGATATAAGGAATCCCAAACCCCACAAAATATGAGGGATCCCTAACAGCGATCCAGACCTGAGGTCTTCAGGGCTACGTAGGTCTAAGGAAGCCTAGGTGAAGATCTTCATTGGCGTTTAGGGTTTAGGGTTTAGGACCGTTGCTGATGAAGTAGTGCAACGTCAGCCCGCTAATGGAATGGAAAAAATCCTTATATCTCGTCTGACTGGCAAACTGACAGGTGCTTGCATCTGTTCAAGTCTAAACTGAGTTGCTGTTCAGGAACTTAAGCTGGGTGTTACCAATTCATGGGTGTATATGTGTGTATATATGTATATAAACTAATATGCTTGCCCAGTATAGTCAAATAAATTAAGTTCTCACATTATGGGTGTATAAACATATATATATATATATACATATGTCCGCAATATCGTAACTTGAATTAAGTTCTTTCACAGCAACCCAGTAAAAAGGATCCCAAACAGGATTACCTTGTGCCTAGCAGGAAAAAGGCATGCATAACTATGCCCTATGCCTATTAGGGCTTAAAGTTTAAGGTTTAAAGTTTAGAGCTCAGGGTTAAGGGTTAAGGGTTTAGGGCGTAGGGTTTAGGGCTTAGGGTTTAGGGCCCTGCGGCAAGTCTTTGGCCCATTGCCCTTTTCCCGAAACGGGGAGAGAGGCTTGAACTCTGAATCGTGGGGGGTTCCCAACAGAAACCAAGTCACTGTGGCCTGGCAAGTGGCCACCAAAACCTTGCTTGTGCTTACGGCTAGCTTCGAGTTTAGGATTTAGGGAGTGGGGGAATGCACGTATGTACTACAATAGGGGCGTACTTACTGGCTCCATACGACTGACTATACCGAATTATGCAGTGTTTTTCCAGGGATCCTCCTCCGTACTCCCCCTGAAGCGCCAGCAAGAAGCAAACGAGTTGACCATCTGTCCTCACAGCGCAGGTATGATACCTTAGTCATTCACGGGCCTAGAATCCAAAAACAACTTTTGCGATTTGCTTGGGCGTGGGCTTCAGCAGAAGCAAAGCGCAAAACAATCAACTCAACAATATGCCAAATACAGATTGGCCGAAACTGCCTGAACTGGTCCCAAATCTTCTGGTACCTCGCACCGACCATAGTCTTCCAGCCCGAAGCAAATCAGCTGACCATCTGCTCGTATCGCACAGGTATGATACCTGGGTGTCTGTTAGGCAAGGGACAAACAGATCGTTCCAGCCACTTTGCTATTAAGAATATAATACAGTCCCCAGCCAACGCAAAAAGTAAGAAGGATCCTCAGCAGGGATCCAGATGCGTGCCCGTGGATACTGCGACAACGGGGCCAAGATCTGCTGGCACGTCATCCATACCTGAGCCACTGTAGGAAGACTGCACAATATGGCAGACATCGCGAGCTTGATCTTTAATGGGCTTAGAAAGTCTCAAAAATCCAAGATGGTATTCAACAATGCCCCGACACCATCAAGACGGTCCCCAAAACAGACCAGCTGTCTATCCGCAGTCACTACGCAACTGTGAAAGGTGCCACAGGAAACAGAAACTGGATGCGACCTCATTGATAAGAAGCTGTTTGCTGCGATGCAAAGGCGGCTTGCGAAGCAAGGTACTCCACTCCCTCGCTCGTGCCTCCGAAGAAGCCGGCTCCTCTCATGAGCTAAGCCTGCATTTGCAGCTGGTGTGTGCCCACGAAGCCGGCTCATGATCCGAAGATGCTTCCAAGATTCATCTCCGTCCTTTGGGGCTTGCTACCCGACATGCTGAGGGTTCAGCCACCGATAGCGGGCAACCAGGACATGGCTGGGAAGCGGCATGCAGAATGCTTTCAACAAACAGATGGCTGCGCTTTAGGGTTTAAGGTTTAGGGTTTAGGGGGACTCTGTACTCAGCCATACCGCACCACCAAAAAAAAAAGAGGAGTGCACAAAGTGGCCCCCTCTTGGAGAAGGCATACTACTCAGAGGAGAAAAAGGGACGGCAAGCTTCAAAGTCACTCCTCATCCTTAAACCTTAAACCCAGGGTTTGGGGTTTAGGGTTTAGGTGCTTAGGGGTTGGGGGTTTAAGGATGTTGGGTTTTAGGACCTATGTAGAGGCTGTCAACCTCATGGTCCCTTCTTGGATCTCAACTTGATAAGGCCCCTTTAGGGTTTAGGGTTTAGGGTGTAGGGTTTAGGCTGATATTTGGAATACCCGAAAAAGGAACAATATGACACACGTAAACCCTTCAGGCATAATGACATTGACAAAGGCGAATGGAATCAAAATGCCGGTAACGCATTACAAAGGATTGTATGGCGGACATTTCCAGAACTTCCCTTGGTTGGGCTCCTGGCCGGCGCCGAACGCGAAGTCGTAGACGGAACGACAATGAAGGGCTGCCCAAAATCCTTTAGGGTTCAGGGTTAAGGGTTCAAGGTTTAGGGTTCAGGATGTTTTGCAGGGACTTTTCAGTCCGTAATGGCAAGTAGCAAGCACACAAGAACATGTCAGGGTATACAGCAATACCCCTACTAAGCGTTTGCTATACAGATATCTCTCTATCCATATGGCAGTTTCCCAAAACAAGGGGAACCCAATGTAGACCCTCAAAATACGACAATCCTTCTTATAGTGACCCACCGAAAGGTACCCCTAACTTTGGGAACGCACGAAATATTCACCCATCCACCCTGGGCTTTGGGCTGTGGGCTTCAGGTTCTTCAGGGTTATGAGATTGGGCGGATCTTCTTGGCGTGGACCTTAACCCTAAACCCTATACTATGGTAGTTTCCATTGTATTTTCCATTATCCCTATATAACCCCAATAGTCTAAACTCCTAGTATCCCCCTTAAACCCTAAACCTTAAACCCTATTGGTGCGGCATAGGTAGAAGCAAAAGCCGCCTTTCGGTTGCAAGGCTCAGGCTTCAACTGGGTTCCTGTTAAGGAACTTAAATGAGGGTTTCCCAAAATTAGGGGTACCCTTTTTAGGGGTCCCTATAATAAGGACTATAGTATTTTGGGGTCTATATTGGGGTTCCCTTATTTTGGGAAACTACCAAATTACGTTACTATAATGAGGAAACCCTGTTACTTACTACGTTATGGTGACTCAATATCTCAGCTTAAGTTCCTTAACGGCAAGCCAGTCAAACTCCCCAGAAAGTCAACCACCATGCGGGACCATGTCTCATAGTCAAGGCTGAGTTGAACTCACTGCCTAATAAACATGGGAGAGCTGCACAAATTAGAGCTCCGCTCGCTGGTGGCTCCTAGAAAAATGTCATAATGCGTTGAAGTACATAAGCGGGACCCCGCACCAAAAGTACGACGGAGGTAATTATGACGCAGGACCTGCAAGAACCCTGAACCCCCAAACCCAAAACTTTAAACCCTGAACCCAAGACCCCAAACCTGCAGCGCTCAGCCCCTTACCCTGACAAAACCTTACCTTAAACCCAGAATCTAAAGTCCTCCCCTAGGTAGGTTTACTAGGAAACACGAATGTCATCCATAGTGATAAGTAGAAGGGCTTAGGGTTATAGTCCCCTTAGGTAGATAGAATATGGGGTATATGGGGATCTTATTATAATATACGTCCATTCCAATATTGTAAGGTTTGGGATCTGATTTTCCTCTACCCAGGTCCTAAACCCTAAACCCTAAGCCCTAAACCCTTAACCCTAAATCCTAAATCCTAAACCCTGAACCCCTAAACCCTAAACCCTAAATCCCTTTGAGGCCCTGGCAGCTGTGGGCAAAGGCAGAGCTCCAGCCTCGGGGCCCGGCACAAGCCTCGGACTGGCTTAGGGTTTTGGGTTTTGGGGTTTAAGGGCTTAGGATTTTTGGGGTTTAGGGGTTTAGGGTTTTAGGGTTAGGATTTTGGGTTTTAGGGTTTAGGGGAGTAGGGGTTTGAGGTTTCAGGGTTTTAGGGGTTAAGGGGTTTAGGGTTTGGGTGATCCTTTGAATTAGCAAGGCGACCTAAAATCCACAGAAACCTCAATTATGAGCCTCAGAACCTCCCTATTATACTGTAGTAGCTTCCATCTTATTTTCCCTTAATTCCCTAAATAACCTCAATATTAGGATAATGGAAAAAATGGAAGCTACTAAACCCTAAACCCCTAAAACCTTAAACCGTAAACCCTATAGACGTACTAAGTCAAGATCCAAGTCAAGGCGAAGTGGCATAGAAGAGCTACTATGCTCATACAATGCACCGAAGTTTGTTTTTTTACATTAAGGGTTTAGGGTTCAGGGCTTAGGGTTCAGGGCTTAGGGTTTAGGGTTTAGGGGTATAGCCATAAGAGGCAATGAACTCCACATCGAGCCTCAAAACCCAGGGCTCTAGATCTCACACCGCGCAAGGCTCGGCTGATCCCAGCTGAGGCCTCCTCAGCTGAATCCCCAAGAAACAACCTATGGGGGTTTCCCAAAATTAGGGGTACCTTTATTGGGGTCCCCATGAGAAGGACTATATGCTTTTGAGTTTGGGGTCCCCCTATTTCAATTTAGGGAAACTACCTCATTGTAGAAGTCCGTCCAAATAATTGCCAACATCATCTTGCGCTCAATTTTTGGTACCCTGGGATCAGACTATTCAGAATCACTTTCAAGCCCCTACAGTATGCAATGCGAAAAGAAACCCTAGACCCTACTCCCTAAAACCCAAACCCCAAACCCTAAATCTTCAGTAAATCCGGTGTCAGGACATTTTGCATGTTCTTTTCCATTCAAGTCTCCATTGTTGGGCTCAGATCCTTTAATCCCTAAACCCTAAACCTTCAACAACACTAAATCCTACACTTAGCTCACATTACTCTACGAAGAAAAGAGGATCCCGAAAGGTATAAAGGATTCCTAACATTGCTCCAGCAAGCCGCGCATGTCCCTAGAAGCCCTAGAACATCCCTATAGCCCCTTCCAAAAATGTGAACCCTAAACCCTAAAACGCCTAAACCCTCAAACCCTAAACCACAAAAGCCTAAACCCTAAAACCCTAAAACCCGAAACCCTAAAACCCTAAACCCCTAAACCCCAAAAGCCTAA